AGGCTGGCCTTGAACTCACTATGTAGACCAGGCTGGCCTTGAACTCACTGAGATCCACCTGTCTCTGCCTCCCAAGTGCTGGGATTAAAGGGGTGTGCCACCATGTCCGGACTATATTTTATAATTTTTACTTTTTTTTTTTGAGTGTGTGTGTGTGTGTGTGTGTGTGCGTGCATGTGCACTCGTGGAGGTCAGAGGATAACTTCTGGCAGTTGGTTCTCTCCTTACACCGTATGGGTTCTGGGAATTGAGCTTCAAAAAGTTTTCAGCCTTGGTGGCAAGCACCTTTACCCACTGAGCCATCTGGCTGGCCCACTTATATATTTTATATGGAAGTAAACAGAAAAGTTCATAGGCTCTAAACACAAAGAACAAATGTTTAAGAAGAGGGAAATGTTGGGACTGGAGAGATGGCTCAATGGTTAAGAACACTGACTGTTCTTGCAGAAGACCCGGGTTCGAATCCCAGCACCCACATGGCAGCTAACAACTGTCTGTAACTCCAGTTCCAGGGGATCCAACAGCCTCTTCTGTCCTCTGCGGGCATTGCACAACACGGGTGCACTTACCTACATGCAGGCAATACTTGTATAAACATAAAAATAAAAAAAAAGAAGAGGGACATGTTAATACCCTCTTGGATAATTGCTCATTGTGTGCATGTATTGAATTACCATACTACTATCCCACAAATCTGTACAGTTATTATATATCAATTAAAAAATATTGTGGGGGTGCTGGAGAGATGGCTCAGCAGTTAAGATCACTGGCTGCTCTTGCAGAGAACCAGAGTTCAATTCCCAGCACCCATATGGTAGCTAACAACCATCCATAACTCCAGTACCAAGGGATCCAATGCCCTCTTCTGACTTCACAGGCATTGCAAGATACAGGTGCACTTACACTCATGCAAGCAGTACACTCATACACATAAAAATAATAAAATATTTTTAAAAATATCTTGTGAACTCAGGATGTGCAGCTCAATGGTGGCATGTCTGCCTAGTATGTCAAAAACCTGGAGTCATCCCCAGCACTGCAAGACAAACACTAAAGTGGATCTGTCATGGGTTTCCAGTTAACCAGTAAGAGACATGAGAGCAGAAAAATTTATTTGATATGGTTTGCTATTTTTATTTTTATTTATTATTTATTATGTGTATGAGTGTTATGCCTGCACATGTGTAAATGCACCTGTGTCGTGCAGCGCCCATGGAGGACAGAAGAGGGTGTCAGATACACTGGAACTGGAGTTATGAATGGTTGTTAGCTGCTATGTGGGTGCTGGGATTCGAACCTGGATTTTCTGCAAGAATAGCTAGTGCTCCTAACCACTGAGCCATCTCTCCAGCCCCATGATTTGCTATTTTTAAAATAATTGTGTGTATATGCAATTATAAGTATTGAATCTCTGAGTCTACGTGTAGTGAGGAGTGAATAAAAAATATAGAAGATTGACAGGCATGGAAAATGATTTTCCTGGGCCAGGAAGATGATTCAGTGAGTAAAGGCATTTGCCACCAGGCTTGATGACCTGAGTTCACTCCCTGGGACCTACATGGTGGAAAGAGAGAACTGACTCCTGAAAGTCGTCCTCTGACCTCCACATGTATGACATGCATAACCCCCAACACATACACATTAAAAATAAAAATGTAAAA